CGACCTCCATAGGAATTCTATAGAAGCCCCCATACGAATGTTATCGGCCTCCGTAGGAATTTTATAGGCCTCGACCGGAATTATACAGGCCTCCGTAGGAATTATGTAGCCCCCCGTAGGACTTCTATAGGCCTCCATAGGGAATTCTATAGGTCACCATCGGAATTCTATAGGCCTCCATAGGAATTCTATAGGCATCCATAGGACTTCTATATAGGTCCCTTGTAGGATTTTTATTTGCCCCCATACGAATTCCATAGGCCTCCACAGGAGTTCTATAGGCCTCCATAGGAATTCTATAGGCACCCACACATTCTATAGGCGTCCATCGGAATTCTATAGGCCCCCCATAGGAATTCTATAGGCCTCCATGGGGATTCTATCTAGGCCTCCATCGGAATTCTATAGCCCTCCATACGAATTCTATTTAGGCCTCCATCGGAATTCTATAGGCGTCCATCGGAACTCTATAGGCCCCCATCGGAATTGCGTGCGTGTTTTTCTTGACGCCGCTCGTGAGCCCAGGGGCCGCGAAAAACAGCCCTGGGTCCCAGGGCCGCGAAAAACCGCGATGACGAAGACGAGGAGGAAGAGGGGGAGGAGGAAGAGGAGGAGGAGGAGGAGGGAGGAGGACTGTTTTGGGATCTCGTGGCTCCTTTTCTCTTATTTCTTGGGGCCGCCCGCGGGCGCAGGGGCCGCCGAAAAACTTGCGTTGGGCATTGGGGCTGCGAAGAACCGCAGGAACGAGAAGGTCGGGGAGGGGGAGGGTGCGGTTTTGTTTGCATTTCGTGTTGTAGGTTTTGGGGCGCCGCTCTTGGGCCCAGGGACCGCCGAACGCCGGAGGAGGGGCAGGATGAGGAGGAGTTGGGGGGAGGTGGAAACGCTACTTCGTCCGACCTCATGAGTTCCACTGTGTACGCGGTGGCTAAGGCGACGGGTTTGTCTGCTGCTCTGTGCGTTCCAGCTTCAGATATCACGAGTACGGGTTTCACGGTGGATGTCCGTCGGCTCTCCGCAGCTGTCCGCGAGCTTTCGGTCACAGTGCCCGATCTGTATAGGATCCTATACACTCTGTACCGGATCTGTATAGGATCCTGTACAGTCCGTATCGGATCAGTATAGGATCTTATACAGTCTGTATCGGATCTGTACAGGATCCTAGACAGTCAGTATCGGATATGTATAGGGTCCCATACAGTCTGTATCGGATCTGTATAGGATCCTATACAGTCTGTATCGGATCCGTATGGGACTTTATACAGTCTGTATCGGTTCTGTATAGGGTCTCGTACAGTCTGTATCGGATCTGTGTAGGCCCCTATACAGTCTGTATCGGATCTGTACAGGATCCTATACAGTCGGTATCGGATCTGTAGAGGATCCTATACAGTCTGTATCGGGTATGTGTAGGATCCCATACAGTCTGTATCGGATATGTATAGGATCCTATGCAGTCTGTATCGGGTATACATCGGATCCTGTACAGTCTGCGTCGCATCCGTATAGGATGCTATACAGTCTGTATCGGATATGTACAGGATCCCATACGCTGTGTATCGGATATCTACAGGATCCTATACAGTCTGTATCGGATTTGTGTAGGATCCTACACAGTCAGTATCGGATCTGTATAGGATTCTATACAGTCTGTATCGGAGCTGTATAGGATCCTATACAGTCTGTATCGGATCTGTGTAGGGTCCTATACAGTCTGTATCGGATCGGTTCAGGATCCTATACCGTGTGTATGGGATTTCTTTAGGATCCTATACAGTCCGTATCGGATCTGTATAGGATCCCATGCAGTCTGTATCGGATCTGTATAGGATCCCATACAGTCTGTATCGGATCTGTATAGGATCCTATACAGTTTGTTTCGGATCTGTATAGGACCCCATACAGCTTGTACCGGATCTGTATAGGATCCTGTACGGTTTGTATCGGATTTTGATAGGATCCCATACAGTCGGTATCGGAGCTGTGTAGAATCCCATACAGTTTGTATCGGATCTGCATAGGATCCTACACATCTTGTATCGGATCTGTACAGGATCCTATACAGTCTGTATCGGATCTGTATAGGATCCTATACAGTCAGTATCGGATCCGTACAGGATCCTACAGAGTTTGTATCGGATCTCTACAGGATCCTATGCAGTCTGTATCGGATCTGTATAGGATCCTACACAGTCTGTATAGGATCTGTATAGGATCCCATACAGTCTGTATCGGATTTCCACAGGATTCCATAAAGTCTGTATCGGATGACTACAGGATTCCATACAGAGAGTATCGGATGTCAACAGGATCCCATACAGTCTGTATCGGATATGTATACGGTCCCATACAGTGTGCATCGGATCTCTACAGGATCCCATACAGTCTGTATCGGATCTGTCCAGAATTCTATACAGTCAGTATATGATCTCTACAGGATCCCATACATTCTGTATCGGATATGTATAGGATCCTATACAGTCTGTATCGGATCTCTACGGGATCCCACACACTCTGTATCGGATCTTTACAGGATCCCATACAGTCTGAATCGGATATCTACAGGGTTCCATACAGTCAGTATCGGATCTTTACAGGATTCCATACAGGCAGTATCTGATCTCTACAGGATCCCATACAGTCTGTATCGGATCTGTATAGGATCCTTACAGTCTGTATCGGATCTGTATAGGATCCCATACAGTCTGTATCGGATCTGTACAGGATCCTATACAGTCTGTATCGGATCTGTATAGGATCCCATACAGTTTGTTGCGGATCTGTATAGGATACTATACAGTCTGTATCGGATCTCTACAGGATCCCTTACAGTCTGTATCGGATTTGTATTGTCGCGGCGGCACGCCGGCGCGCATACGTTTTTCACCCATAGGACCACGTCAAGGTCCGTAAGCTTGTCCAAGGGAGTTCCAGTTTTTCCCGGAAGGGGCTCGAGCCCAGGGTTCTCTTTTAGTTGGTTCCCCCCGGTTTCGACGGCTGTAGGGCCGGCGAAATTATTCTGCGATGAATTACGTGCGGGAGTTGGGCCAGCGGAATTATTTTTGAGGATGTCTCGAGCGAAACGCTTGTTTTTCAGAATTTGTTGAGGAGGTCTCGAGCGAGACGCTGGTTGTGCAGAGTTGGGGGTGTCTCGAGCGAAACGCTTGGTTTCAGAATTGTTGAGGATGTCTCGAGCGACACGCTGGTTTTGCAGAGCCGACCGCGACACGGAAAAGCGCCCCTCGCGCAGGAATTCCAAGGATGTCTCGCGCGTGCCGCGTCCCGCGCGCGGGTATTTGGATTTCTTGGGGTTTTGACAGGATGTCTCGAGCGAAACGCTTGTTTTTCATAATTTGTTGAGGATGTCTCGAGCGAAACGCTGGTTTTGCAAAATTGGAGGATGTCTCGAGCGGTGGCCTCGTGGGGGGCCAGAATTCAAAGGATGTCTCAGGCGAAATGCTTGTTTTCACGTCCCGCTCGCAGGAATTCCGAGGATGTCTCGCGCGTGCAGCGTCCCGCGCGTAGGAATTCAGATGATTTTGACAGGATGTCTCGAGCGAAACGCTTGCCCCCAGCACGTTCCGTAGCGCGTCCCCTTGGCACGTCCCGCGGTGCGTCCCCATGGCACGTCCCTTGGCACGTCGCTTGGCGCGTCCCTTGAGACGTTCTGCGTCGCGTCCTCCTGGCATGTTCCCCTGTCCATTAGCTCTTTGGCAGCTACTATGTGTTCAGGCAGCTCGAGCTTAAGATCCAGATCAGTTCGGTCAGGACTCGGATGCAAAGGAGGACTCGATCCACGAGGCTATAGAGCACAATGTCGCCATGGCACATCGCAATTCAGCACGGCGCAGCACAGCACTGATTTCGGCACGGTACATCAAGGTCGATACACTCAGCATTGCAACTTGGCACGTTCCTTGGCACGTTCCGTGGGGCGTCTTTTGGCGAGTCCCCCTGGCACGTCGCGTGGCGCGTCCCCTGGCACATCCCGTGGCACATCCATTGGCACGTTCCGTAGCGCGTCCCCTTGGCACGTCTCGCGGTGCGACCCTATGGCACGTCCCCTGGCACGTCGCCTGGCGCATCCCTTGGGACGTTTCGCGGCGCGTCCTCCTGGCATGTTCCCCACAGCACGGCGCAGCACAGCACAGCCCTCAGCAGGGTACATCAAGATCGATACCTTCAGTATTGCATCTGCCCGTCACCCAATCAGGTGTCTTTGAAAACGCTGCCATGTGTTACAGTTCTACATTCCTTTCCGGGTTCGTGGGTCGATCATGTTTTTTGGGGGGGGGTGCTGGTTGCTGTTGCTGTTGCTGGGGGGGGGTCAGAATGCGTCCACGGGGCTCTGAGCGCAGCCTTCGCAATAAGGCGAGGGCGGATCCAGACGGCTAGAGCTCACGGGGCTCTCACGCGCGCCTTTTCCTTGTTGTTGTTGTTGTTGAACATTATTTCTTCTAAAGAATAATTATTGTTGGGGCCCCTGGTGCACGCCCCCCCCGCCGCGCCTAGGCCGCAGCTACATTTTCATCATTTTCGTGAGGAAGCCTCAGGTAAAACGATGTGATCCAGATCCGGTTGTTTTGTTGTAATCCGTTTTCCCTTGCAAAAACACTATAAAATGACATTTCTTGTTCTAATATAATCAAATTTCAAGAATCCCTTGCAAAAAAATAAGGTAAAGTGGACATTCGCGCGCGCAAGACGAAATCCTTCCAAAAGCTTAGTGTTCGGAACGATTTTAACATAAAAACATCAAAAAAACCAATGGTTTTCAAAAAAAAAATGCCAAAATTTCATCCCGCGCGCTC